GTGGCATAGTCGTTATGCATTGGGTCAACAGTTGGGTCAATCACAAGGTCAGCAGTTCAAAACTACCAGCTGTTCTGAGGGAGAAAGATGGGGTTGTCTACTCCCATAAACAGTTACAGTCTCAGAAACTCAAGTGGCAATTCTACCTTGTCCTATAGGGTCACTATGAGTCAGTATCCATTTGATGGCCATGAGTTTGATGTAATTTTTGGTACAGAAGTTCATGGAATAGAATGATATGATTGATCTTTACTAATTGACTTTTTACCCAGTAGTTTTCTCATTTAAAACTCCAGACTAGATGGTCATTTTTGGATAACTCCTTTAGAGCAAATTGTTTCTTTGTGCAGAACCGGGAATAACTCCTTCAAAGACGCATTCAGAAAGCCAACACTCTGCACATAATTCCTTTTGTGTGTTTAGCTTACCTGTGTCCTCTGGGGCACAGTCACCACTAGCCTTTGTCCAGGATTGTCTTTATTTTTAGCACCTCATTCCATAGAGATTGCATAATCTCTACACACTGCTAAAGATAAGCCATGTTCAACCAAGTCTTTCCGAGGTGTCTTTGAAGCGAATTCTGGGCAAATAAACAAACAAACCCCCAAAGTTAATGGCTTTAATTTGGAAACTTTAAAAAGCAAGATGTCCCCTCGTCCCAATTCCTGCTCAGGCTCTTGGGGTTGTCAATGGAGTCTCCTCCCTTCTTCCAAGGCTGACATTCCCAGGGGCTTTTCTGGCCACCAAAGGACAGCGGGACATGCAGAATGCCATTCTCCGAGAGCCAGTGGTCACAAGCCTGTGCTCTGTTCCACTCTGGTCACATCCAGGTGGAATTTAAAATAGAATGGATGGGGACCCAGTTATGTAAAAAGTCACCTCTGGTCTTCTGTTCTATCGGGAGAGTTAAGACCAGCTGCGGTGCTTCTGGTATCAGTTTCCAGTACATAAGTCTCTGTGATCTGCAGCAGAAATTCTTACAACGGGCCCTTAGAAGTCTTGTCCTCTGATGGGTTGCCAGAGGCAGAATCCAAGGCATATCTGTGCAGGCACACTTAATTTTTTTTGCAGAGTTTCCCAAGAACTAAGAGACAACGACTGTGGGTTCTACAACTTGTGATCTACAAGTGCCTAAGAGGGGTGGTGGGATTGATTTACTGTTGCTCTGCTCCTAGTCTGGTTAAGTTGGTGTAACTGGTCAGAGATGACCAAGGGTCACGGATTCTGCTCCTTGAGTGAGCTCCTTTGCATTGAGATGGATGCGTTTGAAGCCCTGGCTTCCTGCCTTCATACTCCCCTTCCAGAATATAACTCAAAAAACTTTACCTCTTACCAGAAAAACAAGCACGTGTCTTCCTTGTGAAATCAGGGATCTACAGACTTGGAGTTGCATTGTGCTTTATCTCAGCAGCGTAAATCAAGTATTGGGTGGCCGGCTGGTCCCACACCATGAGGATATAACATTAGCCTCTGTTTAGAGAACAAGTTATGCTGGTGTATTAATGGTATAGGAAATGGAGTCGTTATTTGAATGGAGTTATCTGTGAGCTGTGATGTAAGCAATCATGAGTGCCAGTGCCAAATGAGAAATTTTGACTTTGAAGCCAAGTGATCTGGGTCAGGAGAAAGGAGCAACAACAAAACAACCCTAACAATAAAAACCAATAGTGATTTTGAATTCGATTCTGCAGCAGTATGTTGTGGTGCCAAGAAACCCAATACCCACTGCTCTTGAGTCCAGTCTGACTCATAACAACCTGTACATCTTTGTGGAAGCAGACAGCTTCATCTTTCTCTCAAGGAACAGCGAGTGGATTTGAACCACTGGCTTTGTAGTTAGCAGCCTAATGCCTAAGCTAGAGTGACACCAGACTCTTTAGATAAAAAGAAAAAGGGCTCTGAAATAAGACTATTCTTGATTCTACTCTTTACTAGCTGAGTGACCTCGCACAAGTTTCTTGGGCTCATTTCCTTATTGATGAAAGGAGTGTCAATCGCATCTTAGGGGATTTATTAGGGGACTTGAATTTTAAGAGCAGGAGGAAAGACAGACACAGAGAGAGCAAACACAGATGGTGCACAGGGGGTTATACATCACAGGTCCGAATGGCTGGGCGCAAACAAGGCACAACAATGTCTGCTTGAGCAATGAAAAGGCTACTTCTCCGGTTGGATCCACTCCCAGAAACATTCCACTCACATTAAGAGATATGGACAGAATGAACCCCAAGACCCTATGAGAGATGCAGGACCAGGCAGGCCCTGAAAGTGTGCCCTGGATCTAAAAATGGTTGACCAAAGAGTCTTCAACTCTAAGTATAGCAGACTCTGGGGGCTTCTGGGAAGGCTTTGTCTGGCTGCCTGGACCGTGCCACATCCTTCGACAGGTAACCGAGATAGCAGTTAAGTGACCCCTGGACCAGATCACGTAATCCTCTTATATGTGCTCATGTTGTTGGTGTCACTGGGTCGGCTCCGACTCAATGTACAATACAGGGAAATACCTCCCAGTCCTGGACCATCCTCACACTCAAGTTCCCTCCCTGATCACACTGGATTGTAATGGCCTGTTCACTGTTGGTCTTGTCAACTAGGCTATGAAACCTACAACGATTTGTTCCATTGCATAGAGCCCTGGTGGCACAGTGTTTAAGCATTTGACTGCGAACAGAACCTAACCAGTGGATCCAAAGAACAAATATGCAACTGTTTGCTTCCATGAAGATTGACAGCCTTCGAAATCCTATAGGGAAGGTGGGTCTCACTGGATGCCTAGGAATTGAAAGTTCTATTCCCACTGTCTAAACCATAGGAAAGGCCCAACACGTGTTTTTTTCCCCATTCAAAAGAGTCCAACAAACTCCTAAAAATGCCTATCAGTGTTGTCTCTAAAATTAACCTAGAGTGTTAATGCTCTCCACCTCCCACCCCACCTCCAGTCCTAAGATTGTTTGTTCCCTCCCTCCTACCTCTCATCCCTTTTTAATGGAATTGAAAGTAGTTTCTCAAATTCAAACATTTAGGCCACTTAGGTGTCTGGTCAGGGTGCTCCTTATCATGTTTCCTCACTCCTAAGTGTCCAGGAAAAGGGTCTTAAGTTCAAGGCCCAATGCCCAGGTACAGCAACGAATGGGTCATATTCATTCTCTCTCTCTCTCTCTCTCTCTCTCTCTGTCTCTCTCTCTCTCTCAAGCTCCCAGAAATAACATAAGCTTGGAAGAAGATGCTGAGCTTCAGAAAAAAGCCACGAGTCATTAGCCAGAATGTTTCTGGATCTGTAACTACACCCTATCATCAACTTGACCTTCTGCAAATTACAAGTCTTCAGAACCTGGTACATAATGTGCATTCAATAAATATGTGTTGGATAAAGGAATGAAAAGATATCACAGACCATCAGCGAGTTTTCATTATTCTAGATGGATAGAGAGTTGCCGACAACCTCATCAATCCCTCTATCTAAATAAGCTGGATTCCAGTACCGACTGAGCTATTTTATCCAGCCTGAGAAACGTACCAATCTTTCAGAAGACATGTGAGTCCTTGGAGCACTTTGGAAGCCTGCCTCATCTTCACCTAAGGCAAGGCTTCCTGATAGCATAGCTAAACATCCTCCGCTTGCCTTCAGTGCCCCGAGGGGACCTTCCATCCTGCCAACCACTTGTTAACTAGCCTTCCCAGCAAACACAGCAGGCCCCTGCTTCTGAACTCTCTTGGGCTGCAAAGAGGCCTCAGCAGGATTGTGTCCACTCCTTTATTTATAATCTCAAATTACTTTGATTTAGATTTGACTCCATAACTGGTTTGCATATTGGACTGATGGGATCTTATCTTTGTAAACTCCCACAATTCTGGGCATACCAAAACAATAAAACCAGTTGCCCGTGAGTGAACTTGACTCATGGTGATCCCACTTGGGCCAGAGTAGAGCTGATTTTTATAGGGCTTTCTACAGCTGTGATCTTTGGAAGAAGATCAGCAGGAAGTTCTTCTGCAAAGCACCAGGTGGATTCGAACTGTCAGCCTTTCAGTTAGTAGTCTAGCACTTAAACACTTGTACCACCCAGGCGATGTCCAATAACGGTTTCAGGTGTGTCAGTGTGGGGGCCTGTCTCAGGCTGTAATGTGAGATGGGGAGAGGGTAGGAGCAAAGTCCTCATCTATTCTAGAATTCCCCAGGAAGCTCTTTTCTTCCTCTTCTGCCTGGGACTCGGAACACTGCTCTCAAGGGCTTCAGGAAATATGCCATTACATCGGCAGGAGAAAGCAACTCACAAATACCATTTCAATACGGCCGAATTAAATGCTTGGCCAGGACCCTCCCTTTCTCGAATAAATAATAAAGAAATGAAGACAATCGTTGGAAGGTTCACGATCTTATCCTCTGAAGTCTGTGGTAACAAGACTGCTTTACTTGCAAGGTATTGAACACTCAACTGGCTTGGTGCCGTCTGACTAAAAGAGAAAGGAAAAAAGAAAGAAAAGAAAGATTCATCTCTTGTGAGGAGAGAGGGAGGAAAGAAAGCAGGGCTACCAGGCCATGCCACCCAGAGGGGAGTCCAACTGGGCCAGTGGAACTCGAGCATCTCCCATCAAACCCAAGCCTTCCTCAGGGGGGTTTGGAAACACAAGTGCCTTCAACAGACTTTGATTTGAATTAAGCCCCTTCCAGCCCAGCCCCACACCCAGGAGACTGGGAGCCACATAAAGGTCAAGGCACACTTCCTCCTGAACCCGCTTTTCTGGGACCCACCGACCCGACGCCCCCCGGGGAGCCTGCTCTCAGCCAATGGGAGCCCGAGATCGCGGGATGATAAACTGCAGGGCCAATCAGGCGCCAGGGAGGCTTGGGGAGGGAGGAGTGAGGAGGAGCGCCCGGGGCGATGGAGACACAGCTGGGCCAGAGAAGTTTCTCACCTAGGACTGCGAGGGCTGTTCGCGCATCTCCTGCGCCTCGGCAGTCCCACGCGAGAGAAGAACCCGTAACTGCTTCCTCTGCCCCCTCACCCTGCGCCCTGCAGGCGAGGGTCGGCGTCCGAGAGCCCCCCAGCGCAGCAAGATTTATTTTTCTGTAGCATGCAGAGAGGAAGAGGGCGAGGATAACGTGGTGCAGGGGACTGACCTTTGCCCAGGCTGGTCTGGGTAGAGGAGGACGACAGAGGAGTGGTCGGGCCTGGGGGACTCCATGCAGGGGCCATGAACAGAGTGGCACTCCTGGGCCTGCCCCGCCTGTGCGCGCTGTGGGCAGCCCTGTTCACGCTCTTCCCCTGCGGAGCCCAAGGAAACTGGATGTGAGTACGGGACCTCGGGGGCCACAGGGTCGGTGGGAAAGGGGGGCGGGGGCGGGGCTCCTGCCTCTGCGACTTTCATCTGAGTGGGGAAGGGGCGCGGGGCGGGCCCCGGGGCGGCTGCTCTGGGCTTGGGACGAGAGCTGGGAGCGCTGACGCTGGGGAGGGCTCTGCCCTACAGGTGGCTGGGCATCGCCTCCTTTGGGGTGCCCGAGAAGCTGGGCTGCGCCAACTTGCCGCTGAGCAGCCGCCAGAAGGAGCTGTGCAAGCGGAAGCCGTACCTGCTGCCCAGCATCCGCGAGGGTGCGCGCCTGGGCATCCAGGAGTGCCGCAGCCAGTTCCGGCACGAGCGATGGAACTGCGCGGTGGCGGCCGCGCCCGCCGCCACCAGCCCGGTCTTCGGCTACGAGCTGAGCAGCGGTGAGTCTGGGGGGGATCCGAGCGGCTGGCGCAGCACAGGGCAGCTGGGGTGCCGACAGCTCCGCGCGTTCCCCGGGATAAAGCAGACGGTGTTCGCTAAGCAAAGGCTGCCAGTTCGAACCCACGCAGCGCTGGCGCCTTGGATGGTAGACCTGGCGACCCGCTCGCGTGAAGACTACCAGTCTAGAGAAAACGGTACGGGGCCAGCCTTCTGGGTCGTGTAAGGTCGTTATAGATCGCCGGCCAACAAGTAGGTGGGGATTGAGGGGAGCGAGCGAGATCAAAGGCCCGAGCTGGGGTGCAGGTGCGGAGAGAGGCGCTTGGGGCTCCGGCTCTTCCTCCTTCCCGCGGCGCCCCGCCGGAGTTGGGCCGCCGACCCCCTGGAGCCTGGAGCGCCCCCCTACGGGGTGACCAGCTGGAGAAACGGGAGGTAGGTGCCAGGGAACGGTGCTGCCGCATCTGCTTTGACTTCACCGGCTCGCTGCGCACCGGGCCCGGCGCTGGGACGCGGGTGCAGGCTCGTGGGGCGCCCGCCGGGCGGCTGGTGGAGGTGTTTGCAGCGGGATGAGCAGGGGTCACCCCAGCGGGGCTAACCTGGGCGTGCTTACTTCGGCTCCTTTTTACCCACTTCCCCGCCTCCGTGCACCCGCGCGGCGCGGGGTGCTGCCGGAAAACAAAGTTTCGCTTCCACGTGGGTGGGCACTAGGTGGCGGCCGGATAGGTCCCGAGAGGCAAGGTTGGTGCAAACAGAACAGCAGAATCAAAGAGTTGCAGGACTCGGACACGGAGAGCTTGGTGGGCCTTTTCCCGGTTCGTTTCCGTTCCGCCCTCCACCTTTGACCCTAGACCCGCAGGGTCGCAGGATTCTCAGCTAGGAGCAGCGCGCTTTCCCCGCTGCGTTTTGGCCGGCACGCCCTTCCGAAGGAGCCCTGCCCTCCTGCAGGGGCAATGCCTTCCTCGCAGTTGCTGAAAGGCAGCGGCCTCGTCAGCTGTTGAAAAGGTTTATTAGGCCACGGGCGTGAAACTATTTGTACTCCAATCTAAACAGCTCGCTAGAGAGAGAGAAAGAGAGAAAACACGGTCTCCTGCCGAGTCTCTTCTGGGCTGTTTTATTAATGTTTCAATGGACCTCCGCTTTGCAAAGATTTAGGCTCCACCTCTGCGTTCCGGGTGCTACATACGGGGGTGGGGGGGAGGGGGGCGCAATCTATAAGTGTGTGGTCGAAGTCCATGCTCCTTTAACTCCGTTTTTCCCTTGAACATTTTGAAGCCCCTTCCTATATCTTTCCCCCGCTTCTTCCCTGTTGGTGACGTGTTAGCTCATTTACTTTTGATTTGCCCTTAAGACTGAAAAGAAACAAACAAAAACAAACAAACAAAATCTTCACTGCCATTGAGTCGACGCTGTTGTAAACGCCAAGCAGTTCATGTTAGCTCCAGAGATGGCGATTCAGAATCCTCAAGGAAGATGAGTCTTCAGTGCCGAAAGAAGCTGATGTGTGTTTACTCAAGGGGGGAGAATCACACCAAGCTTTTCAGCTTGTATCTTGCCAGAGCATATTGAAAATTTTCCAAAGTAAGGTCAACTTGATTTCCTCGGGGTGCTATTATCACCATTTACTTGTGAAAGACTGTACACTCCACAGGCACTTACTGAGCTGTGACTGCGTGTGTCCCCAAGAGTCGGGTGCTGACATCCTTCTCAACGTGTTGGAAATAAACAGAAGAGTTGGAAGCAGTCGGGGAGTGTCCTGCAGGCGGGATGCCATTACTACATGACTTCGGACACTCAAACAGCGGTGTGAGCCGTGACAATCCCCTCAAGCGAGATACTGAAAGTTAGTTTGCTCTGTTGTTGCTTTTTCTCTTTAAGAGGAGAGTAGGAAATCCTCCCTTCTACATGTGTCCTCAGGAAAGCATCCGTTGGAAGAAATGGCTACTCCCATACGAAGAAGCTCACCCCACTGAACATTGGCAGAATCCACGTCTCACTAATTTAGCAACTGTCTGTTTGGTTGCAGGCACGAAGGAAACAGCGTTCATTCATGCAGTGATGGCTGCCGGCCTGGTGCACTCGGTGACCAGGTCTTGCAGTGCAGGCAACATGACAGAGTGCTCCTGTGACACCAGCCTGCAGAACGGGGGCTCGGCGAGCGAAGGCTGGCACTGGGGGGGCTGCTCTGACGATGTCCAGTACGGCATGTGGTTCAGCAGAAAGTTCCTCGATTTCCCCATCGGAAACACCACGGACAAAGAAAGCAAAGTTCTCCTAGCAATGAACCAGCATAACAATGAAGCGGGAAGGCAGGTATGTATTCGAAAATGGCATCCAAACCCAGGGTCTTTGAGTGCTTCTGGATGAATCTCTCCAAAAGGCTTAGAAAGCCAAACACTTGCAGTCAGCATTCTCTCTATGGCTTCAGGAGCGCGTATTCTCTTCACTGGCTCGGTGTAGGCGCTCCATCTGGTGTCAGTTGCATCTTGTAGAATTTGTTTGTCTGCCTTGTACACCCGAGGTATGAATTACAAAGTAATCGATGCAGAAGTGCCTGTTTGTATGATTCCGTCTCTTAGCTGAGGAAGGTCAGAGCCGGAGTAAGCCCTCCAGTGTCTGCCGTTTCAATGGACTCGGATCTCATGTCTTCCAGTCTGACAACGAACTGATATTTTATCTGTTTTTTTCATAGAGAGTGGCTTCTAAAAGGTTATCAGGTTTGTCCGTATTTAAATGTACGAAAGGTGACACAGTGGAGAAAGTGCTCAGCTGCTTACCAAAAGGTGGATGGTTCAAACCCACCAGTGGCGTGGCTGGGAAAAAGACAAGCCATGCTAGTGTGCTCCCAGAAAGATTTACAGCCATGAAGACCCTGTGGGGCAATTTCACTCTGTCCTATACAGTCGCTATGAGTCTAACTCAACGGCAGTGGGTTTTTTGCTTTGTGTGAGCCAATATTTCTTGTAAAACAAATATATTTCTTCCCAATAAATAGTTATTTGACTATAAAGGACTGTACCTTCATCATAAAGATTCATAAACTTCAGGTAAATATAAACAAGAGAAAAGTGTTTTTTAACATTAAGTTTTTCTGACACTGAGTAACCCTTCTGGCTTTATTTAACTTTTGTATCTTCATATTAATGAATACTGACACAATAAAGTTTGGGTTCTGTAACATAGTTCAATTACTTGGCTGAATTGAATTACATAGTTGAATTACAGAGTGGCTTTTGTGACTGTATATTCTCTACGCTATCATAACTTTTATAGGGGTAGGAATATTGGTACAGATTATATGTTACTATAAATATGCAACAAGCTGTTCAGGTCCCAGAGTAGTCACTGCAGCCGGCCCATTTTCCTGAAATGAATTAAAACAAGTTGCAGCATCTCTCAGGAATATTTAAAGTACATGTTGCATTTGTTTTACAGTTTTTGAAAGTAGATAAATGGAACTAAGTGGCACCATTCAGAATAATTGAAAACACGCTCCTTCATCTCTAGAAAAGCAAAATCTCAGCCCACTTTTTGCCTTGACACTTGTATCAACTACAAATCCTATAACAGAAAATTAGTCAACAGAAGAGACAGTAAGTTAGTAAGTTTCTCTGTAAAGTTTTCATATTTTGGTTTTGAAATGTTAGTTCATTTTATTTCACCAAAAAGTGGTGCTCTGGTCTAACACTAGGATTGTGCATGCTGTTCTTTTCCTTCAATTTTTACTTTTAAAAAACTGCATTCATTGTAGCTTCAATGCAATGCCGTTAAACTATAATTTAAAAATACAACTAAATCATTTTCTTTAAAACCCGAGCATTAAACTAGAGAAAAACATGGAATCTATCAAATGAATCTATTCTGAAAACATAAAAAAACAATTCAATGAATGTTTACTATTAATACAGACCTTCATTCTTCCTTAGGCATTCTTAAAATAGTTAGGAGATTTTAAATGAAACAAACCAGAAAACAAAACTTAGAAACGTGCGCAACTCTGAAATGAATGATATCCCCTAGGAATCTAGAATGCCTTTTTATTACTAATACTAGGCAACTCATTAGTTGGATTCTCCTCTGTGCTTCCTCCCCAGAAAAACTGGTGTTTGCTTCTGTGACTGTTCACTTTGCTTGTAAGCCATTGCTTATATTCTAATTTCATTAAAAGGACATGTCATCCATTTTAATCCACCGCTCTTTGACAAAACAAAACAAAAGCAAAAAGAACCCATCTTCTCACACAACTGAGGGGTTTGCTATTACTCTAGGTCGACAGGGAAAGAGCAGAGCCTCTGCATGGAGACATCGTGTTGAGTGAATCTCAGCCGATTCCATGGAGAGCTTTGTTTCTCTCCCCAGTTGTTCTGGAGGGCGCCTGAAAACATTACAAAGTGTTTATTTTTAGGATACGACACTGGTGCTTTTGTTGGTCTTTTCCTAATGAAGTCTTACATCAAACTATTGCTCTATTTTTCTTTCCATTGGTGGGTGGCAGAATTAGGTTTCCAGGTGATTATCTGAAGATTGGAAGAGCAATCAATCCAATTTCCAGTATTGGCAATTAGGATTTTAATCTAACAGGCAGATTCTTCTGAGGAAATTTCAGGTCTGCATTCAATTGAGTAGATTTTCCTAGTCTCCAAATCCCCAAACTCCCCATGTAGGAAAGCGTTCAGAGAGATGTGGGTACTGGCCCTTCCTCGCGCTGTGAGCAGGATAGATGATTTTCTAACCGCTGACCTTAAATACTCTGAATCCCACTTGGTTTCTGACACCATTCCTAAAGTTATGACTCCAAGAATAATGTTGCCGAGTGGTGATTGGCTACCAGGATGATGTGATGCCTTCCAGGGGCAGAACTGCTGGGAATAGTGTGACTTGGAATATTTATGGGTATTTCTTTTGGTGTGCTTAAAATATTTCCATTCTTCCCTTGTCCACCTCATAAACTTTCAAGTTTCCCAACCCCATAATTTGTCTTATGATGAGTAATTCCAAAAAGTGGGCAGCGCCCGACCCCAAATTTTCATTGACCTGTTTCAAGAATACTTACAGGGCGTTGAACAACACATACGTGTTTTGCTTCTCAGCAGGTTCAGATATATTTTTGCACGGCAAGGGGCAAAAGGGACCAGAGGCATGGGAATCCCACATGCAATGGCCCAACCGCCGCATGTTGCCCTTTCCATTAGAAACTGTAAACAGATCATCTGACAGATGACAAATGAAATGTTAGTCACAGAACGTTTCAGAACAGCTTCCCGGCCGTTTCTGTAAGGGTTGGAGGAAGCAAATATACTGGAAAACACTCAGCCCCCGCGACAATACCACTTGAGCCAAAATGGTCAGACCCAACAGAACTTAGACCAACGCCCAAGCGGTTTTTATTTCTACACGCGCTAGGTTTGGAGTATCAAGGATTTCAGTGGATGCACCCTGCCCTCTTCCACTACATTCAAAATGTGGCAAACCAGAGCATTCACTGGGATCCCGGTGAATCCAATGCCCCCCGCCTAATTGCTCTCCCGGAGTTTAAAAATACCCCCGCCAAAACGCACACATCTGTTTGCAATAGTTAACAAAACATTCCATTGTTAATATCATTATAAACCTTAACAACTCAACTAGAGTAGGGAAAGGAATTTTCTCATAACCACACACAACTCTCTCCGCTGCTGTGTTCTCTTACTTCGCCTGTGACCAGAAATGACGGAGCCATCTCTGCAAGTTCAGGGCCGAGGCGGGGGCTCTTCCACATTAAATAGGAGTCCTCGCTGGAAAACTCCGTCGTGTCCTTTTTACCCCCTGAGCGTTCATGCAATTTCCCTAGGTGTACTTGTAGTTTCCACTTCCATTTTCCTGTTATACTACAATTTCCCTCTGCACCTACACTTCGTCCATCTTGTGTCACCAGCGTGCCTTATTAAGACCAAGCGTCTTAACCGCATGTTGATTTTTCTATAGCCCTGGAATCATAGCAAGTAAGTGTTCGTTAACCGCCTACTGTGTGCAGGGTGGAAGGAGCCGGCTGCCACAATGAATAACCGTTGCTGGCGGTGGCCTCTAACCAAGACAGTTAGCAATTCACAGCCACCAGCCTTTCTGAGGGAGCAGAGAGTTACTGCCTGGGAAAATATCTGGGGGTGTTCTCCTCTGCCCGACAGGGTCGCTGGGAGTTTGAATTTATTCAAGGGCACCCGACATGTGTAAGGTATTTTTTTTCTCTGGTTATAATAGTAAATCAAATTTAAAACTTGGTGAATTTGCTTTGTGCAGCCCACATTTCAGCAGAGCTAAGGGACGTGTGTGTGTGTGTGTGTGTGTGTGTGTGTGTGTGTGTGTGTGTGTGTCTATTTCTACCCTGGAACCCAACGTTTCGGCCAATTCTCCTAGTGCCAGCTACATGACGGTTATTGCATTGCTTTCTTTCAGTCCTGGCTTCTTCAAGCTTTATCCTTGACGTGGGACAGGGCTATAGTCATTCAAATTGCAAAATTGCATATCAGCTGATCAGTATTCTTCTCCTTCAAGTGTATTTATCTTTCTATATAATTTCTGGACTTGGATTTTTTTTGTTAAGCCCCCTTATATTTTAAAGGTACTGAAAGAAGTCTTTTTTAAAAAGATGTCATCTCTAGAGAATTATAGCTAGCTAGCAACACAGACAGGCAGCTAGCGTGCCATGGTAGGAGAATCCCTCCCAAATGACAAGCCACAATGAGAATATGCTGGAACAGACTTATCTGTCCATCCAGTGAAACTGCGTGTCACTCAGTGGACCCACATGGTAGTGGATGAGCTGGGCTGAGGCATTGAAAGACAGCCAGACAGACTCAAGCCCTCCCAAAACCAGTGACCTCCTACTGGGACTCTGCTTTAAGGAGGTGATTTTTATTGCTTCCTGCAGAGTCCGGTTGGCAATAAAAGATTACTTAAAACTACTGGACTAAAGCTAGACTAATCTAAATATTTTGGTGGACACCCGCTTGGTCATTCAAGTTTTGCAAATTGGCAACACCTTAAAGGATTTCAGTGAATAAGAGGAGTCAGCTCCATAATGCTAGGCAGAAACAAACAAACAAAACTGAATCCACTGCCATCAAATCGATCCTGACTCATAGCAACTCTATGGTACAGAGTAGAACTGCTCCGTGGGGGGTTTTTTCTTTCTTTGTAACAATTTAATTCATTTTGATTATAGATAAAAAGAAAAGAAACATACTTGGTGATTATACCTTGATTTTCATATTAAGCACAGCATACTCCAGATTTAATTTTTCTTTCTAGGAGTTTCAAATGTACTAATAAGATTTATTTACTTCAAAGTATATGTTAAGAGTCACTCCAATATGTGACGACAAATGTCGGCCAAAGGGAAAAAGAAAGATTTGAAGGGGAGACAATATCCAGGAGTCCATGGTGTTTTCAAGACTGTAAATCTTTATGGGACCAGACAGCCTCAGCTTTCTCCTGAGGGGGCAGTTGGTGCATTTGAACCACCACCTTGTGGAGAGCAGTCCAACATTAATCCATTTTGCCACCAGGGTTCTTTAAAATTGCCGTGTGACAACTGTTACAGACATTGATTATATTTAAACATAGAAACATGCATTCTTAGATTTGAGGCTTTATTTGGGCAATATGTCTTATTACTTAGCAGTGATTGGGCTTTTTGTTTTTTGCTGATAGATTGCAAGCCCTTATAATTTGAACAAAGTTGGGAAGATTGCATTCACTTGGACATTTATTTGGCTGGAGACATTTTAAAAGAATTGAGGGCTTTGTGAATCTCAGATATCATAAAATGTAACCCAAGAAGTCTGTATGCCATCCATGCTTATTTAAATTGCTTTGATGCTGTCGAAGGGTATCTGTCCACCTGGGTTTAGAAGAAATAGACACATCTATTAGTGTCTCAGTTTTGTGAATTCAAAAAGAGCAGAGGTGCTATCTTCTATAAAGACCCGGGTTTAAAGAGTCTGTTTATTATTTCAAACACTAATCGGAAGTCTGAAACATCGTGCAAATCAATACCACATGCTCCCATTTGAGGTTGCAAGTATTATAAATTGTTTAAAATAGTCTGTCTTATTTGACAGCTCCAAAAACTTGGGGTTCCTTTGTCAGAAAATATCATGTTCCGCAAACATGACCGTGTCAGGATGTGTACCACAGAGCAACATATAAATCCTGACATTTTATCGTTTTGATAAGAATTGTAAGTGGAAATTGAGCTGTGAGCTGTTTCCTTTCTTTGGTGAGATTACACACGTAATTTCCAAGCTACTGAATGGATTGATCCATATTTCATTTTACCCAGCACGTTGACAGGACGTCAGCACCACAGCTGGGCCTGACGATTTATTAACCTGCCCTGCCATCCTCTGGGGACTGAAGGAATCAGTGCTGGCAAGCCTGGATGTAAGAGACCAGGATTACCTTGAAACTTTGGAAATCTCTATATTGTTTTTGCACACTAATCACTGCAGTGATAATGGTGTCGCCACTCTCACTGTACCTTCTTTTCCAGAGAAAGGGGGTGTTTAGTTAAAGCTTGATGTATACCAGGCAGTGAGCTATTCCAAATGTAGGGAATCTCCTTTAATTATTCAACGGGGTGGACTCAACTCGTCATGTTGAAGTGAGCATTTCCATAAACAGTATGCCCTTTCTGCCATAGGGTGGCGCTACTGATCCATCAAGGATAGGACATGTGTTTTGAATTTAGGTGGAAAGAAAAGAGGGAGAATTTGCTGGTAGCTAACACACTTCCCAGCCCTGACTCCTTTTGACCAATGTAAGATGGTGAGTCAGGGTTTCTCAGGGGGTCTGTGACCTGGACATGGTGAATTCCACATATCTGCAGGGATATAACAATTTCTATTTACACCAATCAAAAGGGGAACGCTCCATTCCAGCAGCAGGTGACATCCCCAGCAGCTCATTCAAATCTCATGCAAATGTTTTTCTGGGTTTTTTGTTTTGTTTTGTTTTTGAGTTTTTAAACCTAAATTGCTTTAAACGCTCTCAATGCAGTCAGACTCTCAGGGACTCACGCCCTGGTTAATTTCAGAGTCCCACGCATCTTTTCTGTGCTCAGTCAGTGCTTCGAAGTGATATGGACTTTCAGGTGCAGACAGATCACCAGATCTTGATAAATTGCAGCATCTGAAGTTTTGGAAGGGATTCCTGGTGGTGAAGTGGGTTAAATATCAAGGCCAATCGTTTAACCCCACCATCCTCAGGGGAAAGAGGAGGCAGCCTACTCCCATACAGATTTGTAATCTTCAGCACCCCTGTTCTGCAGGGCCTCTGAATCAGAATCCAGTCCAGGTCAGTGGGTTTGGATAGTTCTCTCGTCTGGATGGAGACTGCATCTCTAACAAGGGAGGCTTATTCTCTGAGCCATGGCCGGCACTCAGAGTGGGAAGGTGCAGACCGCATAAGACACGGGGGCTCTCCACTCCCAAAATGAGCCAGGGAATTACCAGTCTAGGAAGTCTCCATTTGTTATCTCAGACAATGGCGGATCAAGGTAAGCAGCCTGTCTATACCACTTAGGTACTTAAGAAGGTTTGTGCCACAGGGTCAAGAGAAGCACAAAGCATTTGAACCTGAGTGACCTTAATGATGCTTTAAAACTCACTTCCATTAAGTCGATGCCAACTCATAGTGATCCTATAGGACAGGGTAGAACTGCCCCTTTGAGTTTCTGAAGCTGTTTACAGGGGTAGAAAGCCCTGTCTCCCAATAATGCTTTGAAGAAAAAATCCCTCCCCCACACACACAAAAAAAGGAGCCCTGGTGGCATGGCGGTGAGATACTGGGCTATTAACCAAAAGGCTGGAGGTTCAAACCCACCAGCTGCTTCGAAGGAGACAAGCCTAGTGATCTGATAGGCTCGGAAATCCCGTGGGGCAGTTGCACTATTTTATAGGGTCGTGATAAGTCAGAATCAACTGGTTGGGAAGGAGTTTTCATGGGTCTAAGTTTTTGAACAAGACAGAGCCGGGAAGTGAAGCGACCAGGCCGGCTGGGCACCCCCGGTTGTATGCGTGGCGAGCCGTGTGTGAACACACTTACTGTTGGTTTCAGGCCGTCGCCAAGTTGATGTCCGTGGACTGCCGCTGCCACGGGGTTTCAGGATCCTGTGCTGTGAGGACATGCTGGAAAACCATGCCCTCCTTCGAGAAGATCGGTCATTTGTTAAAGGACAAATACGAGAACAGTATCCAAATCTCGGACAAAATCACGAGGAAAATGCGCAGGCGAGAGAAAGCGGAGAGGAAAACGCCGATCCGCCAGGACGATCTGCTATACATGAATAAGTCCCCCAACTACTGCGTGGAGGACAAGAAACTGGGGATCCCCGGCACGCAAGGCAGGGAGTGTAACCGCACTTCGGAGGGCGCCGACGGGTGCAACCTGCTGTGCTGTGGCCGGGGCTACAACACCCACGTGGTCCGGCACGTGGAGAGGTGCGAGTGTAAGTTCATCTGGTGCTGCTACGTCCGCTGCCGCCGATGCGAAAGCATGACCGACGTGCACACCTGCAAGTGACCGTGTCCTTCAGCCAACGCGGCGACAGCGCAGCTCACAGGGTGGCCCGCCCAGCGAAGTTGACGCTTGTGGGTGTCCCAGACCCTTGGCCCCAGCCGAGCGCCCTTTACCTGATTGACATGCAAGCACACACATGCAGCCCCTGGCTTTTCTTGGCGTTTTAAAGCGTCAAAGGTTGGGGATGGTGTGCCGAAAAGCTGGCCAGAGACTTGTCTCCCAAGCAAGAAAGTGCAGCGGAGGGGCCTGGTGCTGGGAGACCTGGTCCAGTACTAGGAACTACCCCCTGGGCCATGGACTCTGTGATGGTGGGGGACGGTGGACGCTCCTTTCCAGGTAGGCGCCAGGAGTGTGAACATGAATGTCACTGACTCAGCAGCACGGGTGGAGAAATGATCCTGCAGGGCGGCGCAGAGTTACTGAAGATGGGAACATCTTTCCAGAAGGGGTGCTGTACTCAACTTCAAAAGAAAAGTCTCTTAAAAGAATCTGACCAGAGATTCCTAAAAGAGGAATGCTTGTAAGATTGGGTTAGTGACAGAAGGAAAGAAATGAAAATGCTAAAAACAAAAGTGTCATTTGGATTTTCAGTGCCTTTTTATCAGCAGAATTTACCTAGGCAGGCTGGAGGAACAGGGTTGAGCGCAGTCATTAACCTCGGGGCTCATGGTTAAATCGTAGACCAATTTGGACTGGTGAAAATCCATGCGGCCCGAGGGATGCTAAAATCATGTGGAGGAGTGACATGTAGAGATAAGAGTGTAAAAGGCTCAGAAACATTTAAATGTGCAAAAACAGCATTGTGTGCAGAATTTTACTTTAAAGAAAGTTATCTATTTTGTTAACACAGTATTTAAGTGATGGAATATATGAAAACTGAACGACACTTATCGCCAAAGCCCCAAGAGCTAAGGCAGTACGAATATCTCTGTAGTCAGACTAGCTCCTGTTTCTTTTCTATTAACGCTGACTTGATTTTGAAAAAGAAGTTAGTTAATTGAGTAGTTAAATGGTGTGTATTTCTTGCTAAAATGACAGCTTTATATGGTATAGATTAAAATACGTTGCAAAATTTGAAGAACTCTGTTATTTCAGCAGTCAGATTAATTGGATTCGCGTTTCGCATTAGTTATGCTTAACTTGTAAGGTTATTATAATAAATTATACAATAAAAGTTTTAACTGGGGAAGCAAGACTCTACATCAGAGTAACGATCAGTTTGTGGATTTGACATTCTGGATATTTATTACGTTTTGTGGAATGCTGCATTTTCATTTGAATTTTGGATGGTCTTTCTTGTGTTAATATTCATGCCTGTGTAGCCATCATGTTTTATAAGGTTCCTGGTTTGAAATGCAGGGCTGGCTGTAAGGTTGTATTTCAATATAAATGCTTATGTTTTTATGAGTGGTTAAATATTTTGTGACTACAGAGAGAGAAAAAAATGATTGAACAAAGAAAGAACATGCTTTGTCTTATGAATAAGCTGAAGAAATCATTCCCAGTCCCCAGGTCCTATTCTTTTCCTTTTAATTTTATTTACATAGAGCACTATTTGCACACATACCCCCCAAATTTGCACACACACAGACACCCAAGAAAATATGCCTCAGGTTAAATCGTCTCATCAAGGCTACTTGTGTAAGTGCGACCCTTGAAACGGAACAAAATGATTAACTACAAAATCAGTGACAATTAAATGAAAAATGAACAAATTCAGAGAGTATTTGAAAGGCTGGTTTTCCATTCTTTTGCATTCATTGAACAGAACAGTTCGAAAAATATGACTCTGAGTCTCCTGGCTTCTTTGTGAAGTAAATGGAATTTATCTGTGTTGAAAACAAGCCCTCCCTCCGCTTTTTTTTTTACAAAGAGGAAGACTGGCATTCCTACGACCACTCATTTCTTCTAGAAGACTTTTCTTAATGGCCTGACCACCTCTGAGATTCAAGCTGGCTCCAATTCACACACACGTGATGATTATTCAGCCTTTTGTTAAGAACTCTGTTCTCCGTGAGAAAGACAGCACTGAGACCTTACTCTTGGAAACGGGTGCCCAGGCGCCAGCACCTCACTTCCAACTGTTCCTTTGGTTTATTTTCCTTCCCATGCCTGGTGCCACCACGGACCAGGCTTGGTGAACATCCTGCCTGCCTGTCTTCAGAGCAGACAGCCTGGTCTTGGCCCTTCTCCTTTCCCAGCCCTCCTGGTGCCCTGCAAGTTCTGGGGTCTGAAGGCCCCTACCTGGTGTGAGCTATTTTGCCTGCATTCCTGAGGGCAAGCCCCCATCAGACTAGTGTAAACATTAAATGGAACGTTTGGAGAAAACAGAGTCCCTAGATGGTGTAAACATGCTCAGGGACTAACCAAAAGCTTGATGATGTCAGAACTCCCATAGGTAGCTAGGAAGAAAGGGCTGGCAAACTACTTCTGGACAGAAAAAAATAACAGCTACTGAAACTTCTGCAAAACACACTTCTACTCTGACACGTGGGATTGGCTGCTATGAGTCGGAGTCAGCTAGACGGTGCCTGGTAGGTTCAGAGCTCCAGGCTGCACATGTGTTGTGTGTACCACACTTCAAAGCCCCAGCCCCAGCCCCAGCGCTCTGTTCTCTCTCCTTATCAGCCCTGGTGACGCTATGGGGTAGGCTTTGGGCTGGTAACCGTCATGTCAGTGGGTGAGAAAGATGCAGCTGTCTGCTCCCATGAGGATTTACAGGCTCAGAGACCCGACTTAGGGTCACTTAGGTCACTTAGGGTCTGAATCTGCTCCATGACAGTGGTTTGGGCTGGGGTTTGCTGTTGAAACATGAGGCCACGTTTCCAGACCTCAGGTTCTTGTGTCCCACATTATGTGAAAAGCGAGTGGTTCTTTCCTAGACCCAGAGAGAAGGAAAACTTCTTTCTTCTAGGTCCATTCACAGGAGCCATAGTGGTGTAGTGATTATGTATTGGGCTGTTAACTGCAAGGTCAGTAGTTCAAACTTCCATATACTCCTTGGGAGAAATATGAGGCTTTCTACTCCTGCAAAGAGTTATAATCTCAGAAACTCAAACTGGGCAGTGCTATCCCGCCCTGTAGGGTCACTGTGAGTTAGTTGGAATTGAGGAATTGACTTGATGGCAGTGAGAAAGTCCATCTAGAAAATATCTTCCGAGTCTCTGGCTCTCATTGGTCAATGTGCCCATCTGTGAACCAATCACAATGAGTAATGGATGATTGGAGTTGGGGTCTAGACACAGCCATTGGTTTAACGCCATCAAAACCCAGGGCTGGCACAGGCAGTGAGGTTCATTCCCAATAAAGCCACCTTGCTCGAGAGCAAAGGACAAGCAGGCATTAACCCTTTCACTGCCATTGAGTGGATTCTGAGCCATACACCACACCCCCATCCCGTGGAGTCATTCTGACTCCTAGTGACCTTATACAGGGTTTCTGGGCCTTTGCAAATCTCCAGGAGCAGGCAGCCTCTTCTTTCTCTCTCAGAGCAGCTGCTGAGTTTGAACCTCAGACCTTGGGGTTAGCAGCCCAATGCTTACAGTGCCACTAAGTATTATGTCACCCTAAAAGGGGGTCCCAGATGCTGGGCAGCAAAGACATCCAGTGTCCCTAGTTCCAGTGATGTGCTTAGGAGACAGAGCTGCTGGTATCACGTGGGGTCAAAGTTCACAGCGGACACAGCCGAGCCAGAGCACACCGGCTCTGTATGTGGGGACAACATGTCTTTATTTCTAAGTGTCCTTAAATGTGGTTAAAGGGGAAGGAGGTGCTCTATTTATTTTTTTCCAACTTTTTTCATAAAAAGTTCATCTTTTTTTTCAAAAAAAGTTTGGAAAGGCAATAGGAAAAGACAATGATGATTCATCTTGAAATGGAGTCGGGAAAACATCTCAAATGGCAACTCTCTGTAACCTCTGCCTAAGCAGCTCCCTGATAGCACGGCTTCTCACACCACGAGCATGTGAAAGCATTCTTTTGAAATTCAAACAGCTACATCATTTTTGTAGGCTCAGTTTACGAGTGAATGGCAGTCTAGTTTTGTTTGCTTGCTGTCATCTCAGGAAAGTATGATACTTACTGTGGGTTGCACACTGGGCTACTAACCCCAAGGCCGGCAGTTTGAGCCCATCCACCTGCTCTGCAGGAGGAAGATGAGACGGGCGACTGCCATCAAGATTGCCAGTCTCAGAAACTATAGGGATCAGATCTGCTCCAACTTCCCCATGAGGCCACACTAAGCGGGGGTCTCCATGATGGCAGTGTGCTTGGTTCGGGTGGAAGCGTGCCGTCGGGCCGGTTCCTGCTCATCCCCGCCCTGTAGACGTGAGTAGCTCTGCCTCCATAGGATCTTCAAAACCAGAATCTGGACAAAAGCAGAAGGCTACCTCTGGCACCAGTAGAGTGGCTGGTGGTGTCTAACTGGACATCTCCCTGTCAGCAGCAGAGCGCTTTAACTGCTGCACCAGCCAGCCCCTGAGAAACCTGATGGGATGTCATGATACACGTTAGATGCCATGAGGCCCTACGAGTTTGTGCTGGCACTGTGAGGGTGAGCACATAGTTTAGAAAGCCTTGACTTTTCTGCAGTGCTGTCAGTGTGAACAGAGTGCTTGTTTTTACGTTAGTTTAAAACACAGGATGAGAAAAGCTCCCCAAAGATAAGCAGGCGGCCATCTAGCTAAGAAACAGCAAAGCCCACGTGGAAGAAGCACACCAGCCTACCCCGACATCATTGCTGAAGACAAAGTGGGTGCATAAGCAAATGCAGTGAAGAAAGCTGATGGTACTCGGCTGTCAAAAGATATAGAATCTGGGGTCCTATAGGCTGGAAGATAAACAAGGGGCCATCTAACTGAGAAACAACAAAACCCACATGGAAGAAGCACAACAGCCTGTGAGATTACAAGCTATTGAAGAGATCAGGTATCAGGCATCAAAGACCAAAAAATAAATAAAATAAAATCATAGCATTGTGAATGAGGGGGAGTGTGGAGTGGGGACCCAGGGCCCATCTGTGGGAAATTGGACATCCCCTTGC